CGTCATTTTAATTGTTGAATTATTTATTTATTTAGTCGGGTATTTTTTTGTTCAGTCGTATATTGTTAACGTTTTTTATTAACTGGTATGTTGTTAATCCATCGGAGTATAATACAGTTTATTTTGTCATGTTTAGAGTTTTGTAGGTTTATATTTAGCATGAAGGCAAGCTGTTGATGTTCTCGAGGGAATATAATGTAGAGAGTGACTATGAGAATTTGAAACTAAGAATAACAAGCAGATACATAAATCAACAACCCAGTGATCATATAAGAAGGAGTTGAGTGTTTACCACGGAAACGTACAAGACAACAATTAACAGTATACAAGCTTGTATTCAGTACTACTTAGTAGACAAAACTAGGTATTAAAATAATAAGATTTTGAATTTCTAAAAATCTAGACAATAATTGGTTCACTTTCATTTTAATAACTCAGAATAACTTAGCAACCACTAATGTAATTTCACATGTTTTCTGTCATCTTTAAATGTGTTGTAGCTTGGACTTAATATCATTTCCCAGTCAATATTTAAATGACAAAAAAGGTACTTTTTCTAAAAAAAAGGTAACATTTCATCGCAAAATAGCTGGTAATGAATAGGAATTTTAAATATTTAAAAGTAGATTTTGCACTAAAAATTGATTTTATCAATTTTTCTTCAAAAATAACCAGGCAACACTAGAATACCTGGTTCGTTCTAGTTTCCAGATACCTTTACAATGACCATCCACAATCATTAGACCTACTTAATTTGATAATTTTAGAATAATCGATTGGAATTCAGTGACCAATATGATTAACTCTAGTTAGTTTGTAATGTAGTACATTCCTTATTGAATTTTATTTTTATTTTCAAGCTGTCTGAGATTACCCGATTTCATAATCTGAGATGCAATCACTAATTGATTGGGGTTGCGATTGACATCCTGTGAGAGGAATGTATTTGCACTGACAGATCAATGATTAGTGATGTCTCAGATTATACGGGCTCGAACCCTATAACGAGTTTCAGTCTCCTCAAGACTTCATGTTCATGTATCACTGACCTCTAAGATAATTATCCCGATAATTTTCATCGATAACAATTGTGGGTGTTTAGTAATTACTATGGTTTATATTACAAATCATTTCTTTAATGACTATGGATAACTTAATAATGAAATAAACTGAAATAATCAAACAAATAACTCCAATTTAAAGCGATAATTAAGTTGGTAGAACTGATATCTCCAGTGAACATTATGCTTTAATATGCAATACTCAACCACTAAATCGTCAGATACTGAACATTGAAAAGAAATTATTATCCTCATATTAGTATAGTTTTTTTAGAAGAACCATTAGTTGTAAATATATATACCATGTTAAAAATAAATTTCAGTGGTTGAGATCATGAATCACTTGAAGCTAGACCACCACTGAAAACGTGGATTCACTGGACGGCCGTTTCGTCTTATTGTGGGACTCTGCAATCCACAATCCCCAATCCCGCCTCATGAGACTCGAACCAGGGACGTATCAGCGTCCCACGCGAGTGCTTAACCACTAGACCTGGGTAATGGGTTCGAATCTCGCGAGGCGGGATCGTGGATGAGCTTTGCTGAGAAGTCCCACAATAGGACGAAACAGCCGTCCAGTGTTTCCAGGTTTTCCATGGTGGTCTAGCTTCAATTGACTCATGATCTCAACAATTGAAAATACAATAGTATCCACAAAAACATTTCTGACATGATACAAATTTATTTGAAATGATAAAACTAGAGTGTTCATTTTCCGGAAAGATATAGTTGGTAGATTTGTTTAAACTGAGTATTTATAACATAGTTGTCAAGATCACGATCAATTACCAATTTCACCAATTTTCACCGTTTATATTTTGCTTATTTACTACTTGCTCATAGTGTTTAAACTGTCTTTTTTTCATACAGTACGTTTTGTGTGACATTAATTGAACATTATCTTTATTAGGTTCCATTCAATAAGTCTCGATTGAACATTGAAATGCATTTATTTATTTTGTAGTTCTGTATGTACTATTTTCCCCTTAATTAAACTGTCAAATTTTTTAAATCCATAGTTGTATAATTGACATAACTGTTGTTGATGACTAGAAAATTAGTTTGATTCTTCAGTGTTTTCTCATGTTAGATAGACAGATATCATCCTCCAGAGCGAAACATTTGATTGAGACTGGTCATAAAGTTGACATAAAGTCAGCATTTGTAGTGTTATACAAAAGCCTTCAAGGACGTATACTCAGGTTTATTGAAGGCATGGCTATACGGAAACTGAAACCCCCTTTATGCGTTCAAAAACAATTTGTCCTTACCCTTAACCTGCCCTAGCAATACTGACTAATTATTCAGAGTGGTTATCACATTGTTTTTGTGTATTTTATTATTATTTCTTTGTTACGGCTTACCTGTCTAGTTGACCTATTAATTTTCACATTAAAATGTCCTAACAAGTATAGATGTGTGGTAAGGTTGTTTAAAATGTATTGCGTGAATGCATCATATAATTCTGACAAACTTTGTCGTGTCATTGCATTATCGAGATTCATCAAAGGAATTAATTGTTTAAACATAACAATGCATTTGTATAAACTCGGAGGGATATTTTATTGAAGGCAATACTCTTTGTCTCTAGAACTCATTTTATAGCTGTATAAACTACTGATAAGTTCCAGTACATTTATTTGCCGTATTTATATTATTTTATTGTCGTCATCATTTCAATGATTGTTTGAATAAAGGCCAAAATAACAATCGTGGCAAAATAACATAAATTCATTAATTTTGCGGATTCTTTTCATCTACTTATAGCCTGGATATAGTAGTATAAGAATTTAAAAGCAATATATGTAATTGCTTGATATATTGATGAGAAGCAAACAAGAAATTAATTTTGAATAGTGATATTCAAATGACTGAATGTTCACAATGTTAGCCAATGTGAAAATTGTGTTAAAAATGATTTTAAAACACAAAGAATACGTCTCCAGAAAATGAAGATTTATGTCAAGTTTCACGTCAAAATGGTTGAAATAATTGCATTCAAATTATTCTACAAATGATGTTTTACTTGAATCTTCCCATTGCTATTTGGGACTGCAATTGATCAGTCTCTTATTGACATATGTGCATCCTGTGCGTGTTGGCTCGATATTGCCTTGATTCACAATGATTCTAAGCAAAGATGGATAGTGGCTAGTAGTGGAATCCAGTTTGACGCGCGTTTCATCCTGTTTGGGATTCGTCGGATGGGTGTACCTGCATCCGAGTTGATGTTCACCCTGGGACTCATACCCAGTACCATTCGCTTGAAACGCCATCACGTTCTCCACTTAGCTACTGTGTCTTGATGGCCACTTGCTTGTGCTGTGGGGTGAAATATGAAATTCACTTGGTGATGTTTTACTTGAATCTTCCAAATGTTATTTAGGACTGCAACTGATCAGTCTCTTATTGGCATATATACATCCTGTGAATACTGTTTCGATATTGTCTTAATTCTATTGTTGGTCACTGTACATCTTTGCTTATAAGGCAAACTTTATCAAATTTTTAGCATCCAGCACTGCTTAGTCTATAAAAAGAAGACTGCTATCAACCTAGAAATTTCATACGAATGAATTCAACTAATTATTGAACCAAAATTAATAAAAGGACAAAGTTTAATTAAAACTCAGGGGAAGAGTTGATTGATCATGTTCATTATATTGGTCAATTTACGTGTGGTCGTTCGGGTTACAATTTAAAATTTTTAGATCATATGTTTTACAGACAATTGTCAACAGAAAACTTTCGTTTAGTTGACTGGTGGGGTTAGCATGATTATCGATCCGGTTATATCATACACAAATATGTTTCATAATAGTTAATAATAATGGTCCTTTTATTCAGCTTTTATTGCTTAGATATAGTAGAGTGATCTCTACATAAAATACTTGCATCAGTTGGGTTCACACTGTATTTGTGATTTGAAAATTGAAACTCTTACATAAGTTATTAAAACTATGCATTTGAAATGCCTACAGGCAATATAAAGATACTTGTTCAAAAAGGTCATTTGTAAATAAAGATTTATTAGATTCTGTGGTTAGTATCAACAACGGTAAAATTCTCATTGATAATAATAGAAATAATAATAATAATGACGATGATGATGATAATCGTATTAAATATCATGTTGATTAAGCAAGTAAGTGACCATCTGAACTTTGTAGCTTGGGAATACTGTGTTGATCATGGAAATGTAAGTAATAAGAAGCAGGCAAGTTAGAAATTATGATTTTAAGTCAGTGGTCAATGAGTTGATGATATTTTCACTTGAAATTTTGGTCGGTATAAACCTACTAGACAATGTATTCTGATGTTAGGCAAATCAACAATTTATTTACATTTACATTTAAAATTTAGGTTGATTAGAAATTTGCATAGAGCGTTATTTTTCCTAGATTCAAATTCTTTACAATCACAGGTCAAGTCTTCAATCGAATATGGTATTCTAGAAGGTTTATATTTCACCCTATATGCATGAATTCTGATTTATTAATGCCCTGTTCTTTTGCAGCATAGAGAAGAAAAAAATTATGGTGAAACTAAACGACTTACATATTTGGATATCGTAACACTGATCAGTTATTTGGAATATGTTTTAGTGTCACTATCTAACCAAACTTATGATCAAGTCAGTGGAATCATTTACTGACTTCAACTGAAGGATTATGAACATTTCTCAAACACTGAAGTGAGACTATTCCATCTCAGATGCCACTAAAAAACAGTCGTGCAATAATGTAAAGCGATTGAAGTTTGATCACTGGATACCTCATGAGTGATTTCGGGGTGTTATGCCCTTAGTATAAGACATGAACATTCTGAGTTCGACTTCATGCAAAGTTGTTTAAACAAAATATTAAGGGGTCTCGATTTAGGGAAAAAAATATCTATCTATTGCATTGTAATATTCAATAGATTTTCTAGTTGATATACATCCATGACTATAACTGTATTGAATTCAGTAAGAATTTTGAAATAAAACTAGATGTTTACTGGCTATTATTATTATTACGCCAGTAACAATGAACACGTATGGTAGTTTTCTAAAAAGTGTATTACTTTCGAAACTTGATTTTGTGCAGTTCATTTTTCTGACCAATATCAACAATTCATAAATATTGAAATGTTTCCATAATCTATGAAGATATGGTCAATAAAACTGATTAAAACTCATATTCCAGGTAGTTCAAAACAAAGAAAGTGACAACAACTGAAAAAGATAAAGTGTTTAAATGAGAAGAAAAAAATTTTTTTTCGCAGAAAAAGTGAATAAAAAAAGGGAGGTGAAAGCAATTGGGACAAACACAAACAAACAAACAATTGACTTTTGATTTAAGGCGCAATTTTAACAAAAATAATAGAGGTGATAAATAAGATTAATTAAGTGCTCTGAATAAAAAAAACAACACTACTAACAAAGTGATAAAATGATAAGTCACTAAAACCATCATTCAGCAAAATGAATTAAAAAAAAAACAAATCTTTTTGCTCAGAGTTGATTAAAACAGTATGGGACTGTGGAACATTGAGTATTTAAAGCATTCAAAGGTAAAGTCTACCGTTTATTGAGAAAAAAAGCTATTAATTAGCCCTCAATAGAAAAGAGAACACTATTACAAATAAGTACTAATGAAAGGTTTTTAAAGAGTTATATATCTCCAAGCCAAAATAGAGAGAATAAAGAGAATTCCAAGTTTTTGTTTTGTTCATTCAATTTGCTACTGTTAACGGTTCATTTGGAATTGTAATCAGATGTTGTTCAGAATATTGACCATTAGTTATTGATGAAGAATTGGATGCTGTACGATAGATTTCGTGTCCCGTATCACTCTGTAGATAAAAGAAAGAAGAGAAAAATATGGATACAATCGATCAACTGATTACTGACCATAAAATCAGAAAAAATATGGTTTTTACTATAAGGCTATGGTAAGATGGAGAATGTTTACTGGTTTATTTAGCCGAAATTAATCTTCAGTTTATGGCATTATGTTCAAGGACGACTATTTTATCATGCTTATGAAAACGTTTATTATTCACATGAATTATTACAGTTCAGTGTACGGTGCAAACAAAATTTAATTGATTGGTTATTTATTGAGTGAACTGATATTATAGTTGTCATCATAAACTGACTGATATTAATTAGGGAGCAAGTGGCATTTGTCTCTATTCATTTCGGGATTTCCTAGGTTTAATCATTCACAACCTCTGTAGAGACTTTAAGAAATCTAAATGGTACTTTTTGTTTGTACAAATAGTCTCCCAGACAATAAACTTTTCGTACCTTCTTCAAAGTTTGATGATTCTTAGTGAGTATAGTATCTGGTCATGGGGACAATGACCGTTGAAGAGTAATAAATTGGAATCGAACATCTATACAATGCTTCCTTGTTTTCACTGATTCTCCTACTGACGTTAAAGGGTAGTAAAAAATAATCATCACTTAAGTATTTTAGAAACATTTTCTTGGAAATTTGTATTTGAGTTGAAAACGTGTATAGATAAATCAAACAGTTACGACGACAGATTGACTTCAATATTTATTCAACATTATTTATTGTATTTAGGAATGTAAATCGTTTATTTTTCTTCACCCCCTCTTATCATTTTGTTTTTCTTTCAAATATACGTTTCACGGTCCAATTATCTGAACACTTCTTATTATGTAATCTTACAATTTTTATGAAGGTTATTTCAGTGTCTATATTTTTTTGAATCATTGACCTATTTCCCATTATGCAACATTGATTCAAGCCTTTATTATTCTTATCACAACTAGTACATTTGTCATCACACTACCAATTTGTACTTTTCACTTATTTATGTAATCTATTCCATTGTTATCACAGAATATTAATTATTAATAGTTTTGACATAGTTTTGAGAAAAAAACAAACATAGCTATTATGTAAGCAAGTAAATTTCGTGTCAGAATTTAATTAATTTTGTATAAGTGAATAAGTACGGGACAATTTGAATCAATTAATTCAGAACTAAAGACCTCTAGGGATCTAGGTGAGTGTATTTCCATTTAAACCATTGGATTGAAATCCATGATACACATTACCAACTTTAAAGCCAAGCTGAAATGAGACAGCTGTACACTACTTTCTGCTTTTTGATAGTAATTCAGTTAAAGTCAGTTCATTAGGAAGAGTTAGAAAATGAAGAAATTAAAAGAGAGTTAAAATAATGACATCAATTTTGGAAATATTTTGTACGCTTAAAGTGTGCGCTACTTATACGGACAGATATAAGTAGTATGTAGCAGTAATTAAAAGTGGAATACTTATCAACAGAAGGATGAAAAGAAAAGAAGGGGAAGGAAAACAGAGAAAAATCGGAATATTAACAGGATTGAAAGAATGATGGACAATGTAAAAGACAACCTGAAAAAGATGTTCAAATGATGTATTTAATATTCTATTTTCATATTCTACATAGGCACTTGTATAATTTTCCATAAATAAATTGATTTACCCTACCAAGTCTTCCTTCATTACACTGTGGACTGGATGGCTTAATGATCTAACCTCAAATTCTTCATCTTGAGCTACAAATGTTCCCCACCATTAATATTAAAATTAAAGGAAAGAAACTTTGTAAAAACTGAATAAAATTAATTTACAGAAAAAACTGTAAACCCACGTTGTAAGCATAGATAACTAGTGAACGCATCTGTCTTACTTTGACATATCTCGTATCATGTCACCGAAAGTCATGTTATTTACTTAGGCAGCTAAATCCGACAGTTGACAACTTTATGGATCGATGATATATTTTAATATGGAGCCTCATAGTCTGATCCCGATCTTTCCCTATGAACTGACCCGTTTAGAACGATCCCTACTACCTGGTTATAATCTACACGATGTCTAAGATCAGTTATCGAAGACACTAGGTGAGATGAATCTGAATCTAATGCAATAAAACAGATGAATTAACTTTTTGTCCTTCTCTAGACATTAAGTTCAATTAATTTTTCATAAATAAATTTTTTATTCCTTCTTTCCTAACCATAATCCCTACATTCGGTCATTCTGATTATCACTAATAACTTATCGTCTCGACATTTTGCTAGTCATGTTCTCAAATTCATTTCTTTGAGCTCATTGGGTATGATGCCTTGGCCAAAGGAGATTTGTACCAGGAGTATTCTGACCGACTAACTGAATGACTACAACTTGACTAAATTTAATCAGCTCGTATTTACGGCGGACCTTGCCCCCGAATGCCCTGGTACGATCGAGAGTGGGAAGAGTCCTCTCTCCTCCCTCGCAGAGCTTTCACATGGCCACGCGTATACATCCACTGTCAGGGAAGTCCTACCCACTGCGTTCTCATGGCAGGGGTGTTGTTTACGAAATTGGGAGGACGAAAAACGAATGTCCGGCGTTTTAGCCTAGTCACCGGCCACCATGAGACTGTATCTCCTAACATTGCTCCACTGCCTTGTGGATTAGACTTTTAGGTCAAAGGCTCCAGGTGTGGTCTCCCAAGGAAATTACCTGTTTCAGTTTGGGCACCCGGTCGGTATACCAGCTCTCATACAAATCGAATGGTTTTTGTGGCACATATTTGTTTGGTGCCCTCTTGTACTAATGCTTATGTGTTTAAATAAATAATAAAAATATAACGGCGGATGTTATAGGTTTATATAAGCATGAGCGTATTGCAAATCAAGTCTGGTGGGTGATAATATTAGAAGGAAGTGCATTCTTCACTTGAGCATAATAAATCTTTAAAATTTATGTATGAAAACAGTAAAAGTAAGGAATGTTTTTCATCAGAATGAAAGCCCATTAATTGTATTATTGTTTTGATATTTTTATTTTAGAGAATCAGATATATTCCTCCAACAAAATGACTTGCTATTCATTATTCAATAATATTTAGTATAAATAAGGGATCAGTAAATGAATAACTACCAAAAGATAGTGATGAGTATGATAAAGACAAATTCAAACATACCGTTTCATCATAAACATATTTGCTTAGTCCAGTATTAAGTAGACTAGCTGGGCAAGGTTCCAAATGTTTCGGTGTATACTCCATACGATATAAAGTTGCATCATCGAATGGTGTTTGATTAGCTGTAACTTGACCATGTGGTTTGAAAGATTCCGGTGGTCGATAATTTAAATGTGGCACATAATGATCATTTGTGGTACTTTTACCTTCAAATTTTACATTCGGTATAGTGTAAGTTGCTTCTCTACCTAAACCTTTGACTGGGGGTTCAATTGCCCAACACCGATAACTGTCTTTATAATCAGAAACTCCCTAATTATAATAGCAATAGTAGATAAATAAATGAAACTGTTATTTGGAATTGGAAAACTTTTCACTTTAATTTAAGAAACAAAGCATGTATATATTTATTATGTTTTTGAAAAAAATAACAGGAAGATAACTTATTTCATATTTTATTCTTAATAACATTAAGACAAATATTCTTGTCACAAAATAAGAAACCACAAAAGCCACAAATAACTTTAAGTTCATATTTGTTTCAGAAACCGACTGCAACTAAACAACAAGGATCCACATTGCCTTGCCTAAAATTAGATAAAATAGTTGTGAGAACTACTCTATGATTTCCTAGCGCTCGCGAGCGAGACTGTTAGGTTCTGGGTTGGAATCTCGAGAGGCGAGATCGTGGATACGCACTGCTGCCGATTCCCACAATAGGACGAAATGTCCATCTAGTGCTTCCACGTTTTCCATGGTTGTTTAGCTTCAATTGACTCATGATCTCAACTATTTAAATTACTATGATATCCACAAAACCTCTTCTGATATTAAATAATATTTGGCACTCATTTTTATAAAAAACGGATCAGTATTATAGAAGTCATATGAATTTAGCGAGATTCTTGTCAACTGTTAAAATCAAGAGTTTGAGAATTAAATGAACTATTTTAGTTTGATCGTTCAACGTTAACTAAGAGGCCAGTTATGTTGAAACAGTCTGTGAAGGGAAAAGCGAGCATACATATGATAAAATCATTCGTAAGTAAATGAACGTTTCTAGTAAAAGAAAGACCACGAGATTATTGAACTGTGAGTAACAGAGAGGGAGAAATTAGATCTTAAAAAACTCCAATACGCACACTTTTGATTAAATCAAAACAATTACTCGTATCAGTATGGAAAAAGTACTTCTCAATATTTGATTATGGTAGTCGTCGTGGATTTACATTACTCATAGAACCATTGAAAATCCTGAAGCACTGAATAGGATTTTTCATGCAGTATGGGATTCCTCAACAGATCACCCCTAAAAAATGTCAAGTGATCGAACCTGGGATTTTCAAGTCTATAGGTGAGGGCTTAACCTTTAGACCACTGGTTTGGAATCTAATTGCTCTTACTTCGGAATTCGTTAACTTGATGATTATCCAGTATGAGATATGAACGTTCTTCATTTAGTCTCAAGTGTGGTAGTTATTGTGAACTCTTCGAAATAAATTCCCAGTTCTCGCTTGTTTTTACTGGCACTCCCAACTAATGCCGATCCGTAATGAATACCACCTAGGATAATTAGATGGTCTCCACGTAACGTTTTGACAACATATTAAGGATCATTATTCTTCGAAGAGAAAAGATATAACTAGTAATTATCATAATATATATACCTGAAATGGTGGTAGTTCAACGCCACGACCGATTTTATCTACTTGATGAATTGCTTGACGATTCTGCAATCCAAACGGTATATAATCTTTGTTATAGGTTGTATCAGAACACATTTTTCCTAGTGGTTCGGGATAAGTTGAGGCATGATTAGCCGAGATAGGCGCAGTTCTATCAGTTAGTTCCCAAGCTTTATAATCAATTCGATGAGTTGTGTCTTTATGAAATGGTTCGTTGTTTTGAATACCCGTATATTCCGGTTTACATGAGACTGATGGTACTGATTGAAATAATGACAAAAAGAGTCAATAGAAATCATGAATTAATAGTAAGACGAAATCTAATTATATGTAGAAATTATAGAGTTATTTAATATCATCAAGTATACGTATGTAACTCATTCCTATAGGTCAGTTGGGAACACTGTGATATAAGTTCTAGTGTTGGTGGCACTATTTCGGCAAACGACTGGACAATGATTTACTTTCAGCCCAAGATTGGAACTATGGACGAAACACTTTGAAGAACAGTTTAACGTATTTCAAACAACCACTTAGTTTTCTACTGTTACTAAACAACTTGAGATGTCAACAAAAGCCCGCTAAATCTTAATGAAGTTATAAAATCCATAGCCAGTATAAAGTAAGGGGGAGCAAAAGGCCCAAATGGGTTAATAATAGAAATTCTGGAGAATAGTTGTGCGGTTTTGGTAGTTAGATTGATGGATATATAAGCCTTGGGACTGGATGCGATCTCATCTAACTGGTTGCCATCGCTGATCATTGTAGTTTATAAGAAGGGAGGGAAGCCCTCGTGTGATCCACACACAGGAATCAGTTTGATTAATACAATATTAGCTGTAATAATAATAAGTAGGGCTATTGATGAGCAAAACTATGAAAACCACTCTGCTTTTAGAAATGGATATGGATATGTAGATCAAATGTTTGCCCTCCATCAGGTTCTGGGAAATAGACAGGTCTAATAATTTCCAACCATAGTTTTACTTCTTGACCTTAAGGAGGGGATCTATTCCACAGATCTTCAGGCATCTTAGCAGTGTCTGTTACTGAATGATGTACCAACGAAGTTAATTGACCTTATACAGGTGCGCTATTCGAAGAGTACTGGTTGAGTCGGAGCTTGTAGTGAACTGTCAACGGAATCAATGACTTCAGGAGATGTTTGTCAGGGCTGTCCATTTGCTACATGTTTATTTAACTTTCCCATAGACATTTTCCAGATATAATGATTTCATCTTATGATTTTCAGGAGTTGATCTCCTACCAGGAGACTCGCTTGTCGACTTAGATGACCAATTGGTGAAGATATTTAATAAATGTATTATTTTGATCGCCTTGGGAGACAACGAAAGTATATTTGAAATTCATTTCGTTTTCTTTAAATCCTAAGAGTTGATCTGGATCAACTCCTGTGCTGTCAATAGGAAGTGAAGTGCGCTGGAGTTCGTTCTTTATTACTCTAGGGCTATGAAACATGGTCTATGAAAGTAGAAGATTTGTGTAAGCTTTAGATTTCTGGTCATTGGTGCCTTCAAAGCGTTGCTCATGTTTTATCCAATGACCAGTTGATCATTATCGAGGTAAGGCATAGGGTATTACAGAAAGGTGGTGAATCGATTGATGTGATTAGGAACTTTCATCGACTGAGGTGGTTAAAGAATGTGCTATATATACTTAATCCCTGCCTATCCGAATGGATGAAGTCAGCTGGTTTAGGAGTGAGTTGGAAGAAAGCTTGGGGCGCTAAGACCAAAACGTCACATCGGTCTATAAAATTAATGACTATTAGATTAAGCTGTGTCAGTAGATTTAAATAACTTGATTAGAGTCCATACAATTATCTCTATCAGTGTTTGGAAACTTTGGGTGTTGTTACTCAGAGCTGGTGGCGATGGCGTACATAAGTTCACTTTCGTTTTTCCTTGAATCTTGAAGTTTAAAGCTATCGTATACTTTTGCCCGAAAATTTGTTTTCCCTCGATTCAAATCTTGTATGCTTAATGTCTCTTTTACTACTACTATTACTGTTACTACATATACTATCCTGGCATCTCACTGTGCTGATGTGAGGTAGTAACTGTAATCGACTCACAGATGTGCCAGATTCTAAGTTCCTTACGACAATGAATGTAATCAAGAAGGCATCAGTCCTCTGTAGAGTGCCACCTCGAATAGAACTCATTTGAAGTTTTTCCTGTCGGTAGCTTACAGAGCCTCAATATCAAAGATAACTCACAGAGATCTCTATCCACTCAATCTAGTGGTCATACAGCGAAGGATGATTGATAGAATTTGATTGGCACCTATTAACAGGCAAACATGACATCTACCTATCTATATTAATCTACACAAAATCCATATTTTTCAGATAAAAATAGTTCGACCACAAAGTCTAAATCGTTTTAGGCAGCCAGTTAATTAAGGGAAAATATAAATTATGTCTGATAGTGAATTATTTATATCGAATATTCACATAGGCTTGAGTGGAACAATTTTAAGTATACAACTAATTCGGAATTTATTTTTCTTGTTAACACTTAGTCTGCTGACAAATCATTCTACATTAGACTACTGAATTAAAATGGTTGTTTCTCATTTGATAGACAAATGTCTTAGAAATAAATGTGCCAGCCTGTATTGATATATGAACATGTATTTGAATTACTTAAGGTGATAAATTATTTGTAACTTTGACAAGTTTACAGAATTAGGTAGTCTTGTAGATACGTAATATTGTGTGCACTGTGACACTTGCACACATCGAAAAGCTGAGTTCAACTTTTTTTCCCTGTGTGTAGATTAACCAGTATTCTTTAGTAAAGAATATTTCAGAAAAGAATATCTCAATACTTATGACAACATAAATAATGCTAATGGGTGACTAAAATTTATACTCACAATATTATTAATAAACAATAAATTAAAGAATATTGCTTACTCATAGTCTTCCAATAATAATCATGCATATGTGTTGATAAATGTTCCATTGGTACAGTAACTTTATGTGTATGCTCAACATTTTTAATTGGACGAGCTCGTTCTGATAAATCTAATGTACGATATGAATCACGATAATCAGTACTATCTGGAAATGGTGTTTGATTTTCAACGAAACAGTGCATTGGTTTACAACTGATTGGAGGTTTTGCACTAAAACAATTGAAGAAATATATGTTATACGTTTATATTACCATGTAGAAGTGAAAAAGATTCCTTGGTAACACATAAAATACTTAGATAAATTAAAAGTTTAATCTTATGTAGCCCATAACAACTAATAAGCATGAGAAAATTCTTACTAGTGAAGACTCGTGCTGAATTGAACAAAAAATATATGTAAGTCCACTCAAAGTATTCATGAATCAATTCTTAATAATGCTTTAACTTGTGCCCATAAAGGTTGGAATCGCTTCAGTCAGTCAGCTACAACGTACGACCAGGCACATATATGCATCGGTCCAAGTTGCCGTACCTCATTAGTACAGTAAGATGAACACCGGATTCATAGAAATAGTTAATTCAATGGTGGTGGTAATATATAAAAGAAAGATTGCATATGAGAACATGTTACAGGAAGAAAGAGCTAGTTCGTAGAAAGAAAGATACGAAGTGATTTTAATTTAATAGTTTAAGGTAAAACAGAGAGTGTATACACCTACGCCATTGTGATCGATCCTGAGCCATGTCACACAAAGTCTTCAACCATTGGTTATGATAATCGCGTGGCCCCTAACCAAGTAGTCTGTATCTACCAACATGGCTAAGGCTAGAAGTTAGTGACTTCAAGCACTGATGCCACGTTCTGGTTTGGCCGCCCCTAACTTTTTTCAAGCCATCCCCATCGCTTACAAAACCTGTAGTAAAAGTTGCATTTTATGGATTAATCTGATTATCAACAGTTGCGTATCAACACAGTAAGCATGATCTTAATCACATAAAAAAAATTATGATTTTCTGGACGACGGATGAATGTAAAGATTTAAATACAACTCTTATATTTTTTATTTGTTGTTCAAAAGTAACGACCAAATCTTATGACGGCTTTACTGGTCAGAAAGCACAACAGCATTGCCATATAAATTAGATAGTAAATTTTCTAGAATATGTATGATACCATTCAAAGGGATCTACGATTGAATACGCATTTAATTTACGATAACCGAAACATTTGACGTTTCATTCTATTTGTGAGTGTGGCAGAATCATTACGTTGGGGTTATGTGTAAGTAAGCTAAGTCTATTGATTAGATCAAGTCGCCATGAGGACCGCTAATGGCTGCATGTATTGGGCATAATCATTACCTACATAAATACGAAGTAAGAGTAGGCTAGTCCGACCGAGATGAGATTTTAATCTAAGAACTCCCAAATAACCGAGGTGAGTTATAAAAAAATGGGCACGTGCAGGAGCCTTCAAACAAAGAAAAATGCTGCTTACAGATTATAAATCATGCAATGTAAACTTGAGTGGTGTACTTAGAACTTTGCCAAATGCTAATCAAATCAGCGTTATCAGTTTCTTACTTTAGTTATGTAGTGAAAACTAAGTGACTAATTAACTAACAAACTAGTTTAGATCCTTTTGGATTGTATTGTTCTAGTTCATATATACTGGTTGTTTGGAATCTCCAATTAGTGGTTACGACTGCAATTAATCGATCTCTTTTGATATATATCCATCCTGCGCTGATTGTCTCGATATTACCATTAAATCACAAAAAATTTCAAGCAGAGTTGGATGGTGGCCGGAGTCGGAAGCGAACGATACTAAATTTCAACTTCTGGATGCACATATATTCATCTGACGAGTCCCAAATAAGACGAAACGCGCGTTCTGGATTCTACTGCTGGCCACCATCCATCTGCGCTCAAAATGTACTGTTATACTACTTCTAAAGAAACGTTTTTCTTTTGACTGTACTTCGAACAGCTTAATGTGATGCACACATGTATACTGTTAATAGGTTATCACGATTTTTTATGGAACTCAAAAAACATCTCGAGAAACCCATGGATTTCTTATAGTTATTAATGCAGACTAACGAATTAAAAGAATTATCTTTGTTAAAGGGAGTCGAGCATTTCAGTGAGGGCTGTGAACGATTCAAAGACGATGCAGAGCAAGAAATGCCACTAAAGTCTTGTATTCACAATAAATTGAACATATGCGGTGTCTTGAACGTTGATTCGATTTCCGAATGATTGGTGATAAATCGTAATTGGGAGTAATTTCCATGGATATGATTCCAGCAAAACACTTAAAATTAATAAAAGTATGTGAAACGGTGTAGGTGATAAAGAGCATGACTTCTGATAGGCTGAAAGGTTGTTTTCAACAACGAAATTGTGATAGGACGAGATTATCAGTACAGATTTTAGGGATTTCAGGGAGCTATGATTGATTTACCAAAAGTTTTGTAAATAAAAATTTTGTGACCTCATTTTGTGTACTTGTTGAACCAAACAACATGCAAGTCACCAATTTCACCCCCATTAATTTCTTAAAGACAAAAACATAAACTAATGTTAACTGAAGCCTTAACTCACTTATATGCAACATAATCAGATGTATAAGTGGGAGTTCCAGAAAATGGTAGATTGGGTTTCGGCCAGTTCGATTCTCTACCTGTAGCAAGTTCACGTCGTTCCAATTTCCATGGTCTATAGTCAGCTATGTAATTTGGAATGTCAAAGGAGTAAGTTAATATTTAAAATAGAAAACATATAAAGTTGAAATGCATTTATAATTTACGTTTATCAATGAGACCGTTCTTAATTTTGTGAAATACTATTCACTAATGCAGAACTGAGTTTTATCATATTCTATTATACATGTGCTTTCTGAATGGGCACTTGAATTGTATCAATCGAGACATAAGGATATTTGTGATTTTTAACAAACAAACCTGTTGAGCTACGTAATGGCTATCATGAATCAATAGCCTGGAGGATGACACGAGCTTAAAGTGGTAAATTTGGGTTCAGATCATAGCATGGAAATCAACGTTGGGGTGCCAGAACATCCATTTTTCCCGACTTATACAAGGCAAAGCGTAAATACTGCATCCTACTATCCAATGATGTTATACAGATAATATTTACTGAATTCGAATTATGGTTAGCAGTAGAATACAAGTTACACATTTTGTCTTATCAGGGACTCGTTAGTTGGTTGAATCTGTATCAAAGTACTGATATTGACCTTGAGTATCGAACAAAGTACCATTCGTTCCAAACATCAATACATTATTCGCTAACCTACTGAGTTTAAATACAACTAGCTTGGTTAATAGATGATATGATTATTCGTAATGTTTCGTATGATACGATTGCACTTATTTAGGAATAAATTTCGATGTCTTTTTTTGGGGATAAATGCATCCTGAAATGAAGGTACATTTATCTGATGAGCCTTAAGTGGGCGAAACCTGCATTCTAAGTTCACTAATTCAAATAGGCTATGTTTGAAGCGATTACGAGTTCACCTAGTCTACGAACGGAACAAAGATTCTGTGAGCAAAGACCAATAAGCTAGATATCCTGATACGTCCCGGCCCCGCTAACTAGAGAGCGAAGTCGAAGTTTGGAACGGGGAACTATAGTCCGCAAGCACGAGCGATAACAACAGACACAAATCAAACGTATTTGTACAGCACAGAACTGTACTTGGGAAGTGTTACAAAATAGCATACTAAAAGACACAACGGACTGATAGCGTTAAAGATTCTCCTAAGTGGGAAATACGACATGAAGGTAAAAAGAGCGCTATTGGTGCGAAAACAAAGAAGTTCAAATTTTTAAAATAAAATTTCAAAAATAAGGTATTTATCAAGTGAGTTCTGGAAATCAAACATCCCCAACAAAATATACTCAAAACCAGAAACAGGTAGGCTTTATCGAAATATCCGTTTAGGATACACAATTCCGACAAATATTGACCTGAATGTAGTTTTCAAATATTAATGGCGGGATAATACTTTTGTGAACAATAACATTTATAAATTTCGATCAAATTCAATCATAAAAAGGTGTTCATGCTCCTAATCTACTATTTTTAGAACGATAATTAAGAATCATGATGAGATCATTCGAATTTAATTTAACTTTAAAATAGTTTCTATCAAAGGCAACTATCAATTGGAGATGCACTGCCAACGAATAGTAAACAAGTAAATATGTGTTTTGTCCAAAATTTTGGTATTTATATCTGCACACTATTGACATGATAAAAGATTGGACTTAAAACGTTTATATCTTGTAACAAGCCATTGACAGACTACTATTATACAGTCAAGTGTGTCGTCAAGAAATAACTAATGAGATAATTCGTTTCATTACCATCAGAGTTCTTAATCAGTACCATATATCCTAACTGTATCTAAACAGTGCTACAAACTTCTTTATAACTGAAAGTGTTTAAGTGGTAAGTCCAGTATAGTAAACGCATAAAAAAGAACTGCCGGCCTCCTGGCCGATTTTCTAGTTCTTGATATCTTCGACTCTTGAATGACGGATCAAACCATAAAGATGAAAATGTAAAAAAAGGTTTCATTTGCAAGATTCATTGAAGGACAAAAAATAAACAGTATTTATAAGTTTACAATTAACTTTGTGGTTGTAGAATGTTTTACAAAAATTGGTCAAGTTAGAAGTAAATTTGATATTTGAACAATGAAATAAACGTTAAAATGAATTAGTTTCTGAATGACATGCTATGTATTTTCTAATTGTACCCTTAGCCTATCACACTCTCGAATAAGTCAGTTGAACTATAGTAAACATAGTGAATATTTTTATCTTAATGTGTCATGGTAACAGAGTGAATTTAAATGTTTGTTTACTGATAACATTTACTTTACATCATTAAGAGTAATTGTATAATTGCTTAAGTTAATTGAATACATTTCTGTGCATACTATATTATATACTCCTATTTCTCTATTAAGTATCGATCAACAAAGAAGTTTTTATCTGTTATATTCTTCTCTACTTTGTAACCTTTCAACCATTACATTTAAATACTGCTCAATAAAAAACAGAACCAGAACGAATGAACATAATATCTATGACAAGATAAAAGTGTAATCAGGTGCACAAATGAAAAAGCAGTAAACATATTTGAGAATTACATGGGATACATACCATTTCTGATTGGTGGAAAAGAAATTACTCTCTCATTATCTCCCTATATCTGAGCTCACGAGAGCAATTTACTAAGCATAAATGCCTGGAGAGTTCATTTATGTCTCACGTTGTCCTAATTACTGGCAATTTTTCAGTAACATTTGAAGCAGGAGAGGAAGGCATAGAGTGGAATTGTTAAATATGTTCAACCATCTTATCAGTATACTCACATTTTATGTATATACTGTTTTACAAGTCCAATTTTTACTTCACTGTCACTAATTCTTTCGCACTGAAATCGACATTTCTCTCTTTTTCCATAAGTGTCCATCATAATTCCATACCCTTATTTTCTACTTAATTTCGTCTTATGATAGATTACTTTCTGTTCTGACGAATGACCTACACTGTATAGGATTTAATGATGGTTAGTTTAGTCTTCTGTGTTCTGACTCCACTGAGCTGTTGTCCTAATTACTTGTTTTTACAACACTTAATCAATTAATTCAGTTATGTGAACTACCAATGAGAGAAACTGAATTTTGTTATTCATAAATAAAGTATATTATATTCAAATAAGTTCTGCTTACCAGTATAGGTGGCTTCACCATCAAATTTAGCTGTGGAACCTTTTCTAATAGTTGGTTTAACTGGAACAACCAGCTGACCAGATTTTCCTTGGGTTAATAAAAGGAATATATATATATTTATTGCAATGGTTTTATAGTAAATAGTTAATCGATAAGAACACCAATCCAACAATTCCAGCTTTCCAGATGTAAAGAAACCCACTAAAATCCTTTTCTCATGCGATCCACTATTATGAAACAGAAGATTCTCTACACTCACGGTTGTCTTATATTCAAAAGGTAAACCTAATACATTCAGGGGACTTGGATTAATTATTAACTAATTGGTGACGTAATCTGATTAATGTTCATTTTATGCCCCAAACTTATTATTATTATTGCTATTGTTATTATTATTAATACCATTATTATTATCTTTACACTTGATAACAACAATTCTCAATTCACATATTACAATTTCCAAATGATGTACTCTACCTTAAATCTGACCGATTTTATGGATTATTCATTCGCATTTATAATTGTAAAACCTGATGAGAAATTATTGAAAAAAAATGTATTTGTAGTAAATTCAACGTTTTGCCTGCTAATCTGGTTCAAGCTTTTTCATAATATGAAAATGACTGGATGTGTGTACATGTGCAACTTATTAAAAGTTAATATTTGGTAAATAAACATTAATCATTTGTCTATTTAAAAGCAAAATAAAAAGTGCAAATGGAAAATGTTTTTAAAACGTCGATGTATATGTAAAATGTGAATTGTCAAGTACATAATTATGATGTTAAAATAGTAAAATAAACTTTTATGCTGGCTTCGTAGTTTAGAGGTTAAGCGTTCAAGCACGAGACCGAACGTCCTGGGTGAGAGTTCCGCATGCGGGATCATGGATGTGCACTGCTGAGGAGTCTCATACTAGAACAAAACGCCCGTTTAGAGTTTCCAGGTTTTGAGTGGTAGTCTAGCTTAAGTCGACTCGTGATTTCTACTGGGAAAATACTAGTCTTCACATATGCCCTATTCTAATTTCCTACAAAATACTAACAACACATATCTACTCTTTTTCATATTATGTACTTTTCAAACGATCCATATTTCATTGACTCATGTTATCCTGTTTAATAAAGTCAACCTCTGAATATGATTGAATAAGCAGTTAGCGTAGATTTCACATGATTGTTAAACATTATTATATTCTTTGACAATTTTGATTTTGATTACTACCCTGTAGAAGTTTAGGAAAGTATTCTGGATGAAACACTAGAACTGTTTGGATTTCAATCGCTGAGACTACTCCAGATAACATTTTAAGAAATAATGCCTTCCAAACATTCGGCGCTAAATTTCTGTCAAACTATTCGTTCAAATATTAACTTCCTTTACCATTTAAATCTGCCTGTAGACCTTCTCTGATTACTACCGGTTCAGAATCCAGGTCTATTAAAGACTTCTTCAAAACATAGAAGGAGGGGATCAAAATGAATATTATCCAGTGATATGCATCCACCAATAAAAGCGAAGAAGACAATAAAGATCAATTTTATGACAGCCTACAATAGATCGTAGAGAAGTGCCTAGGACAGTAAGGACCTAGCCATCCTTATGGGAGACCAAGACGACAAAGTCGGAATAGACAGCACGAGGTATTAAGATATCATGAGACGATATATACTACGAGAAAGGATTTGCAAATTTATGCACCTTCAACAAAGTGGTTATAGGTGGCACTGCATTTCCCCACAAATGCATACAAAAAGATACACGGGTTTCATCAAACCACACTACAAAGAACCAGATCGATCACATTCGCATCAATACGGGTTTGGATGACCCATGGAGGACGTGAGAACAAAGCAAGAAGCTTATATAACCTCAGACCACCATACGGTTGTGATCAAGCTGGTAAACTCAGAGAATTCAAGATATCTCACTAAAAAGTTTATCAGGACAGACAAAATGTTTAGTTGTCTACTGTGCCTACTTATATTTTATAAGTAGATAAAATTTGTTTTTGTTACAGCTTCACAAGTTCCGCGGAAGTATTACTGATTACTGGACTCTAACAATACCACATAGCATCTAATGGACTTAAATTTGTACCCTGATTATATTTCAAAACCATAAAGCCTTTGGTTAAAAATTCTTTGATTTACATACTACCAGTGGTAATACCATATGATGCTAAAGTGTCTCTTTTGTTGTATTGGTCGGTATGACAGGCAAAATGATGTTAGTCTAAAATTGATTGTCATGAATGTAGTACTAGATAATAGGAATGATTGGAAACACCTTTCACTAGTAAGCATTTTACTTTATCCCTTTACGAAATGATTTTGGTTTCGATTTAATAATGGCTTTAAACTAACTCATTCTATTTAGCATTCCTTTTGGCTTTTGGGTAAAAATAATAAATTATGAATATTCTAGTCATTGTTTTACAAATGTGGATATGACTGATTTACACTACATACCAGTATATTCCTTTGTGTATGTAGTTAAACCATCGAATGTCCCCTGTGGTGGTTGATATTGTGCTTCTTTTCTACAACTATTTTGAATACTCAGTGGATGAGGTATAAAATCAACCCTGTAAAAAAAGATATACATCAAAGCCAGTCAGTAATTAAATTAAATGATAACTTTTGAAAAACCTTATTTATTATCTCCAGTGGTATTATATTATTTCAATCCATCGTTGTGTTAATCTGGGATAGTCAGTCAATAACAAGGGGTCATTGAAATGAATAGATTTGACACTTGTGAAATAATCATAAATATACATTTTAATAATGTTTTGTTTTATGAGCTAGATGAATTAATTTAATTTAATCGTTCCGAATGATAAAACCATTAGCGTATATTGTATGTGGATGCGTAGTCTTCAGTTATTCCACAAGGGTTCATTGTGATTCATTTGTTTTTGATTGATTCTGTTCATAGGTTTTGTTGTCGATATTTGTTTGTGTATTCAAACAGACTGTCGTTTACTGTTGACTCTGGTTATAGTTTACACCATCAATCCATAGTTCTGTATAGATTACTACAGTTAAAGTATGATAATCATTAATAGTGACTATTTAAAGTTTTCTTTTCAAAATTATATCAATTCCAATCAAACGATCCAATTTTAGTTAACCAGTTATAAGAAACACGTTTGAACGTGAACTTAAATTTGATAAGTCTGTAAAGCTGTTATTCTAACTGACATTTACTTACCTTAGATTCAAGACGTACAATCAGACTATTATCAATTTAATCATTAGTCGATGCAAACGTTGTACAGAGTATTCATACTAACGATTTCTTCTACTTTTCAGATATTATTTATAGCTGATAGTTATCACGATTTAATGTCTGTTGGGGAACCAGTAAGGAATAAAAAGTGATGGACGACTGTTAAGTACAAGTATGAGGCTCATCAGGGTTGAACACGAATGATCCCACCAGTGATAAAACAAAAAATGTTGAATTCTCACGGAGACCACTATTGTGAATCGCGAGTTGGCTACTCTAAATTCTACCAATTGACAAGCTTCAGATATCCCAGTTCGACCCCAATACTGTTCCCAATCTCCAATATATCAGAACACGAACCGTAGATGAAAAATCGTTTATGGGGTCAGGAGCAGCAGAATAATGATTTACAATCAAATGCATATTTATACAGTTAGGATTACTATAAATATTAACCAACAGAAAGATGAGACGTTAAATAATATTGACCAGTAGGAAAATGACACGCGAAATAAATATTGATCAGTAGGGAAACGACCAATAGGGAAATGACACCATTTAACGTTCAAGGGTAGCGTTAGACTTAACCGGATAACTGTTTTTGGGATATTTTTCTGAGTATCCCAACACCTCCCCTTTGGAGAAGTTAATAGCGACGTAACCGAGGGTTTACTTGAAGTTTCTTTGGGTGTCTTCTTTTGCGATCCGACCTCCGAGGCAACCAAACAGAACCAGAAGGATGTTCTACTTGAGTAGATGACTTAGTCGTCTCTGTTGGAGGTATTGGCGGAAGTTGAAACGTGTCCAACAGCAAGTCGAGTGGGACGCGTTTTGTAATTGCTTCTTTCTCCTTCGCTTCCCTTGACCTGAGTTGATTGTGGTGCCTGGTCCAGATTTCTTTGTTCACTTTGACATCATACATGACGTCCCCATGTTTTTGTGTGATTTCACCCTCTACCCATTTATCACATCCATGTCTATAATCTCGCGCATACACTTTTGTACCAACTTCGTAGGGAATTCGAGTATTCTTCCTCTGGGGGCTTTGCTGGGCCACTTGCTTGGGTTTCATCGCACCATGAACTGTCCGTAGCTTTCGCCCCATAAGCATCTCAGCAGGGGATTTGGAGTTTGGCAATAAGTCATGCGGGGTCGTCCGGTACGCAACTAGAAATCGTTCTATGATATCTTCTGTGGTCCCCTCCCCTCGTGCTTTAAGCATGGCTCGTTTAAATGTATCAACGAACCTTTCAGCTTGTCCATTAGATTGCGGGTGATATGGCGGAGAACGAACATGGTTGATCGAATTTTGCAGGCAAAATTCTCGGAATTGGCTAGATGTGAATTGTGAACCATTGTCTGTTACTATTGTTTCTAGAAGACCATGCTCAGCGAAGATCCGATTAAGGAGTTTGATGGTTCGAGTTGTAGAGGGTGGCGCAATCGGCAATATCTCCGGCCATTTGGAGTATGAGTCAACCAGTATCAGATATGTGGTACCATCTAGGGGTCCAGTGAAGTCAATATGCACTCGCGACCAGGGTTTTTCTGACTTCGGCCAGGGTACTGGAGGCAGCTTAGGAGGATTTTTCGCAGCTTTTTGGCAATGTGAACATCTTTTGACGAAGTCGACAATCTGCTTGTCCATATTTGACCAATATGCATAGCTTCGAGCGATGGATTTCATACGGTTTATCCCTGGGTGTCCAGAGTGGAATTGGCGTAGGACTTTGGAACGTAGGGTTGTTGGAATTACTACACGATCACCAAACATCAGACAATCGTTAACAATACAGATAGCGCTGCGGCGATTCGCTAGTTGTGGCATATCACCACTCAGCTGCTTAACTGGCCATCTGCTCTGAACATAGGTGATCGCTTCTTGGATAATCGGGTCTTCTCTGGTAGCTTCCCGAACATCTTCAGCGGTAACAGGCATTGCTCGAACGGCCAATAGTGTAGCACCGGAATCCTCTTCGGTTGACACTGTGGCTATGAATGTGTCCTCATCAGTGGTAGAATGGTTACTGATAAGTCTGGACAGTGCATCCGCTTGACCAAAATCTTCGGAACGTTGATACTGGATGTCGAAGTCGTACCCCAATAACGCTAACGCCCAACGTTGAAGACGATTAGCCGAATGGGCAGGAATACCTTTCTTTGATCCAAAGATTGATAACAACGGCTTGTGGTCTGTGAGCAAGGTGAATCGGCGCCCATAAATGAATTTGTGGAATCGCCGGACAGCAAAAATTAGGGCAAGCGCTTCCTTCTCTATCTGGTCGTAGTGTTTCTCAGCAGGTGTTAGTGTTCTCGAAGCGTGCATCACCGCTTTCTCTGACCCGTCGGGAAAGACATGTGAGATTACGGCACCCAGTCCATGTGTTGAAGCGTCAGCAGCAACCACAATGGGTAGTTTCGGATTGTAGTGGGTTAGCAGAAGATTGGAACTTAGCATAGCTTTAAGTTTTGAAAAGGCTGACTCACATTGCGTTGACCAATTTCAAGCAACATTCTTTTCTAGCAGACGATTTAATGGATATCGTACGTCATGCAGTGATGGAAGAAATGCTGAATAGTAGCTAATCATCCCCAAAAATGATCGGAGTGAGGAGACATCAGTGGGAGTAGGCATTTGTTGGATTGCATAAGTATTTTGAGGATCAGGGTGTCGTCCGGAAGCATCAAAGATAAACCCCAGGTACTTAACGAAACGTAAGAAGAATTGGCATTTTTCTGGGCGAAGGCGAAAACCATTATCCTAGAGGCGTTGCAGAAATAAGTGGGTTCTGGTATGCAATTCATCAGCAGTTGCGCCGACAATGAGCACATCGTCAAGGTATGTAGCAACACCAGGAACATCTGCCAGAATAGTGTCCATGATCTGCTGGAAGATCGCCGGAGCAGTTTCGATACCGAAGGGTAACCGGGTATACTGAAAAAGTCCTCGGTGAGTGTTGATTGTCAACAACTCTCTCGATTCGAGAGCGACTGGAATTTGAAGGTAAGCATCTGCCAGATCCAGCTTAGCAAAGTAGGTATCACCATTTAAAATAGTAAATAAGTCATCTGGGATCGGCAGCGGATAGTGATGCTGTTGTAGAGCCGTGTTGAGTCCTGTAGAAAAGTCTGCACAGATGCGTATGGAGCCATTGGATTTTTTTACAACCACAATTGGTGCAGCCCATGATGAATAAGAAACAGGTACTAGGACACCCTCAGTTTCCAAACGTTGAAGTTCAGCGTCAATCAGAGGTAAAGATGCGTATGGGACTGGACGCTTTGGGCGAAAAACTGGCGTAGATTCTGACTGCAGTTTTAAAACAGCTTCAGTTGTGGAACAAAGTCCGAGACCAGGCTTAAATAATTCAATAAATCGTTTTCGAAGGTCTTGAGTATGCTGTTGTGTAGAAGCAGTAGTTTGGACTTGATTGCAGATAGCGCTAATAGGAAGATCAGCGAGACCAAGTTTTTCGAACCAATCTAAACCTAAAAGGTTGAGCGGAGAATTGGTGATGTAGCATGTCCCATTGAAGGTTGTACCTCTGAATGAAATGCAGCAATAGAGTTCACCATGAAGGCGGAGATGACCCCCACAGGCACTGACGGCTGTTTGAGAGGATGGTTTGATGGGAGGTTGACCCAATGTTCGCCAAGTCTTTTTCGACAGAATGGTGATATCTGATGCAGTGTCCAACTGCAAACGAACTGGCTGACCATTGATTGAGACGGGTCAGAAATTTGCGTCGAGTCGCGGCATCAGTATGGAAGACTGCTGCTAAACCCCTTGATGAGGTAATCGGCTTTTTGTGAAAACGACGCTGAGTCAGTGCATTTCGACAGTTATTAGATCGGTTGGATTTGCAAAAGCCGCTTTTGTGACCAACTTTCTGACAGCGATCGCACATATGCTGTTTGAATGGACAGAACTTCACATAATGCCAGGCTCCACAGTGCCGACATGGCGAGGGGGGCTTCTTCTGAGCCGGTTTAGAGTGATTAGAGATAGAAACAGCGCTGGCGTTCGAAGGACTCGAGTTTGTCAATCTCGAAGATTTTTTCTGGTGCTAAACAGCATGAACTTCGGAACCACCCTGGCCCCCAGATTGAACCAAAGTGGTGTCACGCTGCAGATTGATGATACGCTGGTACTCGTCTATGATCGCATTAAGTGTCAGTGTTGGATCTTGTTCAAGGCGGTTGAGCAACCGAGTTCTGATGTCGGAGAATTTGGGTGACTGAAGACTGCATATGAGTACTAGGGGCTTGAATTGATCTTCAGTGAGGGATCTGAGCTTGAACCGTTCGCACTCACGGTTAACAACGCCGACGTGGGTCAGGAAGTCATCAGACTCATTCGTGACCAGTTTTAAGCAGCGATATCGGGTACTGAAGAGTGAGTGATGATCACCGAAAAGTTGGCTAAGGGACTGAATAGTGGCGTCGAATGAACGGTCGCGTGGGTTCTGCGGTAGAATGAAGTTGTAATACTTATCCAGCTCGGATGGACCAAGTTTACGAAGAAGAAGACGCACCTTCCACGAATCATCTCTGTCAGCAAAGTCAACTTTGAAAAGGTCTTCATAACGTCTGAACGAGGTATCAAATGTAATGTTGGCATCAGGATCATAAAGAAATTCTGAAATACCACTGGTAATACCATCAACTGATTCAGGAATTGTCGGTGTAGTTGGGACTCGAGAAGATATGTGCGTCTGAGTAATCATCTCCATCAGCTTCAGCTGCTGTTCGAACAATTTTTCTAATTTGGCTGGATCCATAGTTAATCACCAACTTGTTGCTAAATCTCCGTCGCCAAATTATTGTGAATCGCGAGTTGGCTACTCTAAATTCTACCAATTGACAAGCTTCAGATATCCCAGTTCGACCCCAATACTGTTCCCAATCTCCAATATATCAGAACACGAACCGTAGATGAAAAATCGTTTATGGGGTCAGGAGCAGCAGAATAATGATTTACAATCAAATGCATATTTATACAGTTAGGATTACTATAAATATTAACCAACAGAAAGATGAGACGTTAAATAATATTGACCAGTAGGAAAATGACACGCGAAATAAATATTGATCAGTAGGGAAACGACCAATAGGGAAATGACACCATTTAACGTTCAAGGGTAGCGTTAGACTTAACCGGATAACTGTTTTTGGGATATTTTTCTGAGTATCTCAACAACCACTTAACCGTCTGAACCACAGGGATATTAGTTATGTAATGATATACATTCTTAACCATAGTTGAATTGTATTATGGTGATATGATCATCTAATCCCATTAGTGATAGCTATTTCATTGTTGATATATTTGAACTCTCCTAGTCATGACTTTTCACTAAAATCTCGAATGAAGATACTGACATCAACCCGTGATGAGTACAACGTACAAGTTAAAATAACTGCCACAAAACCCCTCGATTAAAAAAAATTCAGATTTTATTTTAAAAAACTAATTAACAATGGGAGGTTATATTCACATATGAGTTGAACAAAGACTGATCCCCATATGTTATTCAATTAATAATATTAAGCACAATATAGAAAATATTTCGTCTTAGGTTGTATTTCTACATTGGAAATGGTAGTAGACTGTGATTGGGGATGGTAACAAATCCCCCAGCCACTTCAGTCGATGAAGAGTCACAACCTCCTTGACATGTTCACCTAGTACCCTAAGCCTGACTTCTGGGTCATTCATTCGGTAATTCCATAAGACCAGGAACGATTCAAAGACAGATATGAAAAAACTTGCGGAGATTTCAATTTTTTTATTCGCTACAACGAATACATTGATTTTTGAAGCACTGAATAAAAAGTCAGTGATGCACATTTTTAGTTTCACTGTATTAAATATCGTTTTCAAATTAATATTAATCAAGAAAGCACTAAATGTCAATAACTGGTTGATTAACTGACTCATTTATTTGTCGAAGTGTTTTAAAGGATTACTTTTAACTAAAATAAAAAAAATCAGTTCAGGAGTTGTGGAGAGTGTTAAGTTTTTGATTGAGATCATGAACCGATTGATGTTAGACCACCACTAAAAACCTGGAAGCACTGGGCGGCCGTTTTGTCCTGGGTTCGAATCCCACAAGCGGGATCGTGGATACGCATTGCTGAGGAGTCCCACAATAGGACAAAACGGCCGTCCAGTGCTTCCAGGTTTTCAATGGTGATCTAACATCAATCGGTTCATGATCTCAATCTAAAGTAAAAGAATTCAATGAAGAAAATTTCCTTTTCTACGTAATCATTTACTTAAGCTGTACATACGTATTAATGGTTGCTCAGTAAATATATAAGTCTATAAAAAGATAGAAAAGATTGTACCATTAAATTGGTTTGAGGTTCCAAATTTCAAAAGATGATTGCGTAGTGATCAAGGGGTTAGAGAAGAATAGGAAGATGAACATAATTTACGTGTCAGAATTACGAAAGGTAATTGTCCAATTGACAGATATGAAGAAAAATGGAAAACCTAAAGGTCATAATAACAAATAATAATTGAATTAATAAGTCGATCTAAACTAAGATGCATTTCCGGGAGTTCTAGTGACAAGCCGTGACCAGTGGAGTTCAACCCGTGTCGAGTAGAGACAGGTAACTACTTCACACAATGGATGGGTGGACACACCATATTATGGATCCATTGAAGTTAGAAATTAACATCCTTGGATGCCCACTTAGTGGTCTAGAGTTTAAGTGTTCACAAGCGAGCCCGAACGTTCTGGTTTCGATTCCCTTTGGTGCAGGATCGTGGATGCGGATTGCTGAGGAGTCCCATTTTAGGATGAATTGGCTATCCAGTGCTTCCAGGTTTTCATTGGTGGTCCAGACACATTGATTCAACTATTAAAACTATTACAATCTCTACAAACTCCCATTCTGAAAATAACTAGGTAATAATCATGAAAATTTTTTAATATATAATAATGACTGATTAAAGTTTAAATTTACAAAATAATAAAAAACAAGACTAAAACATACTGCAAAGGGGAATTAATGCCGAGGAATGATTTATAGCTTAAGTAAATGATTTTGTCAAAAAAAAATTTCTTCACTTCATCCCATTTTCATGTAATGACACAAAGGATTACTTCTACCGAATAGATAAAATAATGAAGGCACGTTCCAAATACAGTAATCTCTGATGGTGTCTGGTAAGTTCTGTTAGTATTTACGGGGAATGTGGTTCGAGAATAAGGAATCAAAAGCTATACATGAAGTAATATTAGAAATGTAAATCTAAGATGAAACGGATTCTCAATGATTTCTAGTTTGTAACGATTGAACTTAGTCAAACTACGACGTAAAACCGTGAAATTGGAATTTCTTTGAAATAGACTCTCTGGCAAAATTAAGTGGTTAGTTTTTGGATATTTGGGAAAAGCGTTTCAATGAGTACAAACTGTCATCTGATCATTAAATAGCATTTTTCATCAAGATATAAACTATTAATAGAATCTAGCAAACCGATTATATCTTTTTATTTTATTCAAATGTTTAAATTACTTGTAATTAATAAATACTACTAATACCAATAATAACATACTTACCGGTGTGTAGTATCCGACTCCATATGACCTTCAGCTTGTACACCTTTATGAGGTGGTTTACATGATTCCACTGGTGTAAGCTTATGAGTGATATACTGTGTAGTATATTCAGAAATTTCACATGGCTTAGTTATCTGAGTTTTACGTTTTTGGTGTGGGCATTTATGCCGACTAAAAGAGATTAAAGAAATAAAATATATACATTTATAGGAACATAAAAACAGAAGTGAGGGTTCACCGTGCTGTTAAGATTTACGCCAAACTAAAAAATTTCCAGTTGCAACCCGGGATAAAGAAGGGTTGAAAATGAAGTTGACAACCTCACCGTGTAAGAATAACCTTGCAAAATCAAAGGCTTATCCGAAAAACAGTTAATCCATTCAAACTTTGCTCTTGGGATTAAACACTCTTCACGTAGAGGATTTGTGATCACTGATGATGAAAGCCGACATTCCTCAGAAGTCACAACGCCGATACCTCTTCTTAAAACTAGAATGACTACTAATATGGGTACATGAAATTTTCAGACATTATAGGAGACCAGGAAAACTATTCAAATAGTTGCTTGGAATAAGTGTAACCTATTGGACACAAGTCGGAAAAAAAGATTAACTTCCGGAGAGGCATTTTTGTATTTTGGTAATGCCCTCAAACGCAAACAGGTATGCCAACCATTTTGATGTGGTATCCAAACTCAAAGGTCAGGATAGACAACTCCAGCGAAAGACGACTCATGGGGAGATGTTGACTGGGAGAAAGGAAGGAAGATGGTGAGAGACTGACAAACCGACGTGCTTTCAATGACATGATTATGGATGGAACCATTTCATTCCACAAATGCTATATCAGTTTTCACGGACCAAATTACAGAGAACCAGACCAATTAGAAATACAGAAGATCCATGAAAAAAGGAAGAACAAAGAGACAAGTTGTTATCGTTTCAGCTAACCACTCGATGAAGGCTAAACTATGACTGAGTCTAAAGAAGCGTTAGATAATTCAATACAGTCCACATTCAGGATGCTAGCAAACTCAGCGAATTCGAGATATCTCTATGAAACAAGTTCCAAGACTTACGAGACTTACTAAAAGAAGAAATCACATTGGGAAACAATTAGAAAAATGATATAAGAAGCAATAACGTCAACATTCCAGGAGGTTTCAGGGCGCGAGAAATGCCTTCACGAAGAGTGGATACCCACCGATACTCTGGGCAAGATCTAAGATATGAAAAAATGGGAAGACGATCAACTATAGCCGAAAAATAGCACAGAACCATGGCATAGACCGACTATACAGAAGAAGAAAAGGGAGTAAAAACAGTGTTGGAGATGACGATCAGAACTATGTAAAAGATCTGCCAATGACAGCAAGAATATCTGCTAGCAAATTGAATATGAGAAAGCCAAGGAGCTTGCAGCGAAACATTAAACCTGAACGACCAGTCAGAAACAAAGGAAAGCCAATCATTGATGTTTAAGAGCAGTGAAACAAGTAGGTATAGCACTTTGAAGAGCCACTGAATAAACCAGCTGCAATAAACCCATCGGATATCGAAGCACTACACACCTACCCATAGGTGTGACTCAACAAACAATGAAAAACACTAGCAAGCTCATCAGACTGGTCAAGAATAATGAAGCAGTTGATGCACTGAAGTCAGACATAAAGGTTATTGCAAAGATGTTTCACGTCCTCTCGAGAAACATTTTGCAGATAGAACAAGCCGATACGAACTGGAAAGAAGGATACCTCATCAACATCCTAAAGTAAAGAGGTCTCAGCTAGTGTTAAAACTATATAGGCATCTCACCACTGTCAGTGCCAGGAACAGTTTGCAACAGAGTGTTGTTGCACCGAATGAAAGACTCAGTAGACACCCAACTTCGAAATCAACAGGATAGATTCCGAAAGGACCAACCATGTACCAACCAAATCGAGACACCGCTCATTATTGTTGAGCAGTCAGTTGAATGGAACTAGTCACTATGCACCAAATTCCTTTACCATAAGAAAACAACTGACATTGTGGATAGAAGAACCGTATGGAATATTACTTGGTACTGTACAATAACCTAGAATATCATCGACATCAAATGCAACTTGTAAGATGGACCGAACTTCAAAGTCGTGCATGGACAGCAGCTCACAGATTCATTCAAAGTGAAGACCGATGTCAGATAAAGTTGCTTACTTTCACCTGTTCTATTTCTGTTAGCTAATAACAGGTCTGTGGAGATCCATATAGCCCGGAACCATGGAATCCAGTGGACATTTCGGACGCTACTGAACGAATTGAACACCGCAGATTACCCGGCTCTTCTACCCTATACACAGAAACATGTGTATGTATCAATGTTTAGTCATTATGTAATCACTTGTTCCTGGCCGTCTGAAATGTTGTCACAATCAATTTCGTAGAATGTTCTTTCATATAAGGTATATATTTACAACGTCCAGTCTATTCAATTTGTTTACACCCTTGCTATACTATACTAATGTGTCTTCAATATAACTTCCGACCTAACTCTCTCATGTAAGTAATTTAAACCCATTATGTAACTGTGACCTTTAAATATCCCAAGTTGTAAGTAGCTGATGAGAACCAAACGAAATAAAATGAATTCATGCTATTCTGTAAGAATCTTTGTTCTTGCTCTTTTCAAAATGATAAAAGGAACTCTATGTGTATGAAATTTCAGCTGTTTGAATCATATTACTGACTCAAATAATCTATAATTCTGATTCAATGTTCTGACCGTTCAACTTGACAAACTTTAAAGAAGCCAAGACAACGGAAAAACGCTGAAGAACTAATTTTATTAAAAAAACAATACACATTCTTAGAAACTATCTCAGTTATTGAGATTTAGATGGTGGTTGGAGGTAGTCAACAGGAAACCCTGGACCCGGGTTTCGTGCTACTTGGCACTCGTCAGCAAGGTGTACCTGTAATCTTGAGGGAACTGATGCTCCCTGGTGAGTTCGATCTCGTGTCACTCAGCTTCACAGTCAGAGACGTTACCACTGAGCTATCCGAGCCGTGACTAACCTCCTGTAGGACTGAGATGTAATCACAATTGATTGATCACTGGGTGGTGATCAATGTCATGCTTGTCTAGTCCTTATTAGAGCACCAGTTCCCTCAAGATTACAGGTACACCTTGCTGACGAGTGCCAAGTAGCACGAAACCCGGGTCCAGGGTTTCCTGTTGACTACCTCCAACAACCATCTAAATCTCAATACATAGTGCCCGCAGTGTCGAGTCACCTAGACTGTTGGCCACATTGCAACATGATCGATAGCATTCGATCTGCACTAATAAGGACTAGACAAGCATGACATTGATCACCACCCAGTGATCAATCAATTGTGATTATCTCAGTTATTGTTTAAACCCAAAAAATCTAACCAAAATTTACATTAAAGTACTATTAATAGTACATTAATTAGTTGACAGATATTTCCTACTGTTGTTGTTTAGTTAAAAAAAACACAAATTCACTTGTTATTAAGGACAGTTTATATTTAAGGACAATCAAAAAGAAAAAACAAAAGGAAAATTGTATTTCAGGAAAGTATTTCTTTTTCTTTTTTAAGTCATTTGATCTTTGAAGTAAACAATCTTCTTACGTGTAAGTAGGATATCCCTTACGAAGTGCTTAATACTCACAGTGATATTAGTGATTGTTTTTTCCTTTTTCTTTTCGAAGTTAGTCAATAAATAAGGGAGATTTTAATGGCGATTATCAGTATTAAATTTTAAAAAATAAACAAGATTATTATACATAACAAACAGTATTATTTCAATAGTTGAGATCATGAGTCAATTAAAGCTAGACCACCATGGATAATCTGCGAGAACTGGACGGCCGTCTCGGGATCGTGGATGCACACTGCTGAGGAGTCCCAAAATAGGACGAAACGGTCCTCCAGTGCTTACAGGTTTTCCATGGTGGTCTAGATTCAACTGACTCGTGATCTCAACTATTCAAATAGTATTATACAAATAGTCGATATGTCGTAATAGTAGCAACAACAATATCTTAACTAGTAGATAGTTACAATTCCTAATATTTTCTGACTTAATGAGGTCAATATTTTCAGAGAAGAGATAAACCTTTTCTTTTTAAATGAACACATGTTCGACTAGTACAAGGAATAAATTAAATCAACTATTTAGTACATGCATAAATAAGTTTGGTTATGCTAATATAGTGTTATAAAGTCAAGGGTAAATCTTTATTCTTTCATTCATATATGTTTGTGAGTGAGTATGAAAATTATGTAATACTTATACACATGCTTGCCAGTCCCAGAGTGAACACCAACTCTGAAATGCAAGTACATCCAGCTGACAAGTCCCAAATAGGATGAACGCACGTCAAAATTGGATTCCACTGCTAGTCACTATCTATCTTTGCTTAGAATCATTGTGAATCAAGGCAATATCGAGTCAACACGCACAGGATGCACATATGTCAATAAGAGACTGATCATTTGCAGTCCCAAATAGCAACGGGAAGATACAAGTAAACAATATCAAGTGAACTTGCCATACTATGCTAATTTGTGTTCAAAACAAATTCCAACTAAACTTAGTTGTGAAAGTGTATTCAACTCGTAATGATGATTTTTAAATGTTACAGATTATAAAAAGCAAACAAGAACCTAATGAAATAAGAAGGAATTCATGTTATCCCACCCAAACCTATGTTCTTATACTCTTCAATATCATAAAAAGAACTATGTGCATGTATGTTTGTAGTGTTATCTGAAATAAGTTAAATGTGACTCTCTGAAAAGACTATTTACTGTTGTTGGATAGGATCAACGTTGATTTGAGTGACGTAGGATTACCATGTGCTAAGCGTATAATCTAATCTGATCCATGGGCTAACTAGACTTCTGTTAGTTTGGAAAGTTGTTTATTCTGTAAAAAAGAAACTAACATAGAGTCTTAAAACATCAAACATTCAATTTTTCTACTCACTGGAATATTACAAATGTACTATTATTAAAAGCAATTTACTCAATACCTAATTTATTTAAAATTATCTAGTGGAATCTTGTTAGTGATGTTTTCGAATTCTGTAAATATCTTTTTATTTAAACGGAAAATAAAGGAAAATTGTTTAGCCTTCAGACTACTGAGGTGAACTTTTGAAA